AAAACCCGCCAATAGGTGGCGGCAAGTCGCTGTCTTAATGAGCCAGGCATTGCGTCATTCATCCATTCATTCAGTAAGGAAACAAAATGCTGTGGTTATGAATGGGTTATTAATAACTGACTCTCCAAATCGTTCAAAGCCGCAGATTCGTTCACTAATGAAACACTGCTGTATGTTGCTTGGAGACGCACACCAGATGATACGGATTTTGTTGGAACTATTGTTTCTTTGCAAAATAAAACAAACATGACAATATTCTGTTTAAAATGTAGGCTACATTTAAAATGTAAAATGTTCTGAATTTTGTTCGCGTACCCCCTCCGTCATCTCACATACCCCCAGGTTTGAGAACCACTGCTCTATGGTACAGAGACGCCTGTAGCCTACACTGCATTTCTCACGGGCTGCTAGTTTCACTTTCGCTTTAAATAAAGTCAGGAATGCTTGACGTTTAAAATAAATGTTGTTTATAGTGAATGCCCCTATAATTTGTTTGTTTTATATTTACGATTTAGTTTTAATCCAAATGCATGCGCTTATAGAGCGAACAGCAATCAAGATCATGCAACACAAGTACACGCTCTCTCTCTCTCTCTCTTTCTACTATAACTACAAATTTTCCAGTGATGTTTGTGAGAAAGGGAATTTCTCACGACAAGCTTCCACATCTGTGCCGCCGTGCGCTCAATCCACTCAGCGTGCTTTGCATATCAGCTCGCGCACATCAGCTCTACAGGCATAAATATTGTATGTTTAACATTATATTAATTACATGCATATACTTCATAGACATCCTTAATCTCTAATAACTCCATTCTGCTCTCTGTTGTTCTGTTGTCGGGGTTTCTTTGTCTGGACTCTGCACTGTTCGGAGCATTTTTATGAGTACAAGTACAGAAGTGCAGTATCGGGCCCGATATCGGTATCGGTGCTTCCCTAGTTAGAACTGACTCCATTTTTCATTCTTTCTTAATGTTTCTGGCCTCTCCAGCTAAAGTGGTTCCTCAACCAATTGCCCACACTTCCCCACGCATCCAGCCAGAGTACCCAGGAGAAAGGACCAACCTGATTCCCATCTCAGGCCATCGCTCTTCTCCAAACCCTGTCACCATGGAGGCTCGCAGCGATAACCGGTGAAACTACTCTTAAAAACTCTTCTTGTGATGGTTAAGATCTGGCAGTTAACTGTGAATGAAGTCAGTGGTGTCCAAACCTGCACCTGGAGAACCATTTTCCAAGTAATCAAGGTCTTCAGGAAAATTCTGCGGGACGTTGGACCTCCAGGAGCAGGATTGGACACCCCTGAATTAATCCAATCAGTGAATTATCAGTGAATTGAAGCATGTTAACCGTTTGTGTTCTTCTGCAGGCCATCAGTGCCAGTGCAATTTCAGTACTTTCTACCCACATACCCTTCATCCCCGTATCCTCTGACCCACACCTACACCCCCATCACCAGCTCGGTCTCCACCATCCGCCCCTACCCAGGTAAACACAAGACACCAGAACCTCTGTGCTAATATTTAAATGTTTCTTAGACCTTTAACACAGACTCTGTGCTTTATTCCCTAGTAACGGCTCCAGCTCAGAGCTCAGCTCTTCCTGCTCAGGCTGGTGTTGGTGTGGCCACCACTGTGCACTTGAACCCCATGCTGATGGCAGTGGATCGCATCGGCCTGCCATCTGCCCAGATCAGCACTCAGAACATCCAGCCAGCCTCTATGACTGCTCAGGGCATTCAGCCTGCACCAATAGGAGTGCAGGGGCTGCATGCCACTGCACCAATCAGCACCCAGAGCGTACAGCAGGCTCCGCAACAGCCACAATCAGAAGCAAAACCACCAGGTAAGTTTAGCACCCCTTTCAGAGTTATTCAGTAATTGTAAGTGGGGGAAGAAAAATGTTATCCAAATTAAAGAATTTTTAGGTTATGTCAATATGGATGACTCGGGGCCAGCTGAAGGAATTTTTACTTGCTTGCTTACTGTACCCACTACTTTTACTTTTTATGGAAATGTTACCAAGGTAGTGTTATGTAGCTAGTTTTGTCAAAATTGAAAAAAAAAAAAAAAAGACTTGTGATAGTTTTGGAAACATAATTTAAAATCTTAAATCTTAAACTGATCACTGTATGTCATCATTTTTCAGAAAAAGTGTGTTTTCCAGTTATTATTGCAGACATCATAAATTAAAAGCATTATTTATATTACTTTATGCTTTAACGTAATTTACAATATGCTTTATTATTTTTAAATGGAAACCATTTAATGAATAATGTAAATATTATAATATACACTACTGTTCAAATGTTTGGGGTCAGAAAATTTTATTTGTGGAAAGAAATAATGCTTTAATTCAGCAAGCATTAATTAATTTGATTAAATTGAAAAAAAAAATAAAAAAATTTAATCTGTTTTGTTATATAGGTGTTGTTTTGGCTGAAAGTCCTGCTTTTGTCACTAATCCAATCGGGAGCACTTTTAGTGGCACGCAGCCTGTCACTACAATGGTGCAGACACACCCCCAGGGGGCGGCTACAGGTGCACCCACACTCATCTCCTCCCCTCGACCTAGCATCCTTCGCAAAAAACCTGTGAATGAGGGGTGAGTCAGCTTTCACTCCACAGCCTTTACTATAGTTTCATAGCGTATGTATTTATAGTATGTTAACTACTGAGGAGCCAAACTATCCATCATATATAAACAATTTAAGTTTCATTCATTCAGTCTCTCATTACTGATGTCCTGAGAAGTAACCCAGCCTAGTGTGCTTACATCTTTAAAAACAAATAAGATGTTGCTAAAATAGTGTAAGACCACTTTTGGGGTGTATTTCTAGGGCAGTGCGTAAAAGTCTGATCCCAGCACAGCCAAGTGAGCATAACGCTGGCCGAATGGATAGTGGGATAAGGCTCTCGGGATCCCCTCGCCCAGTGGGGTAAGCCCTGCCTGAAAATCCTTCCTTATTCTATTCAAAATAGGACAAAAGACAATGTTCCTAACACAGGGTTCCCACAGTCCTGGATAACTTGTAACTATCAGGGTTAAAGTGTGATTTCCAGGCCTTAAAACCTCAAGGAAGTGAAGTCGGCATTAAATTAAAATTCATCCTTTTTTCTTTTTTTCTAAGTGCATGTTACATATCTTATTGTTAATGATTATTCCATGTATATTTTTTATATTTTTCACCTCATAATTTTTAGTCAAAATGTCATAACTGGATCTTCCAGTAAAATGACTCACTCTCTGGTGGTGTGTACAGGACGTCTCTGCTAACATGCATTCGTCTGCCTGCATTTTTGAGTGCAACAGCCCACTCCTCAAAATCCAATGCAGGGTTCCTATGCAGTTTGGAAAAGTATGGAATTTGATTTTAGTAATTTCCATACTTTAGAAAAGTATGGAAAAAAAGAAAGCAGTGTATGGAAAATATTTGCATTTCCAGACATTTGCCCCTATTTAGTTTTCTATAATAGAAAATTATAAATTGAATGAAAATAAATTTATCATACAAGAAGTGTTTTTTTTCTTGGCTGCTGTTAAGTGATTCTTTAGTGACTGTCAAATATGACTGAATGAATTCAAGGTGCACTTTTTCATTATGCAAAAATACAGATTATATTGCAGGTTTTTTCTCAGGATGTTCTTAGCACCATATTACAGAGCCTCTAAAAGGACCTTTGCAAAAAATAAAAAATATACGAGAAACCATTAAACTTAGCGTATAGGACAATCCACACTGATCCATCTATTAGAGGTACTACACTAAGGAAAGCCAAATTATGAGCAAGTAGATCTATATTAAAGGGTTAGCTCACCCAAAAATGAAAATTAGCCCATAAATTACTCACCCTCAAGTCATCCTAGGTGTA